GGACCCAGAGTGTGTTTAAACAAGGCTTCCATGTAATTTAGACAACACACTCAAGTATGAGAAACACTGGCCTTAAAAAAGAGTTTCCTAAAATCTAAACAACTAGCTACATATGGATGGAAAACCACTGATACTTTCTGCTTATGTAGCACTTTGCATTTCAACAAACTTTTTTACTTTACCTCTTATTATCTTCTTAAAACAACTCTGTAGAGTAACTAAAATAGATAGTTTCAGCATTTTGTAAATGAAACTGCAGCTCAGAATAATTCAGGGATTTGCTCAAAGTCATAGCACACAAGGATAGATCCAAATTTAGAGCCTAGGTCTTGTGAATCTTGCAAACTAACAGGGAAAACATTCAGCAAAGAAGAGGGCACATAGCTATATACCACATAACCATGGCTAAAGGAGAGGTATCTCTCAAGCTCAGGTAATGACAGGGAGGAGACAAGCATATTCAGGTAACTTCCTATCAGGTGAGTCACAGCTGTTTGTATTTGGAGTTCACAAGCCACAACAAAATGCATTAATCCTTTTAGGCCTGAGTTTGCTGTTATGTGGAATCATCTTTGAGAAACACAATGCTCAGCCCTCATCCACAGACTCCATGGCTGAGTCATCGCCTTTGGTTGTTTTCTCCATATTTCTACAAACAAGTCATCTAAAGTCAAATGAAACAAAACACCAAAGCCACCTTTACTAGGTAGAGTGTTTATGTAAACATACTTACACATTTCATACTTATGGAAACATAAATAATCACAATTTGCATTTATCCCAGGAGATTTGTCTTCTATTGTTTCCTGGGACATAATGACAATAAGTGATCTAATTCACAGGCCCATAAACATTCTTTAAGAAAGTGTATATAAAATGCCATATTCCTAGATGATAAATACTATGTTATACCCCCCATTATTTACCACATGTATTCAATACAGGATTTTATGGGCAATGGATGACCCTTAAAATGTCAGTGATGACCAGTAAATTTTGTTTAGCTCTAGTGATTTAGCTACAGAAAAAGAAAATTTCATAATTGTTGCACACTTGCCCTGTAGACACACAAAGTTTGTTTTCAAATGCTAAACTATAAGTAGTAGAAAAATAATATATTGTGTCAGGAGTTTGTATGAATATTGATACATTTTTAGTAAATGTAGGCATTCTATTCTATGATGCCTTATAGAAAAGAAACCATGTTTCCCTTGAAGTTTGCACAGAATCTTCACATTTAACTATCAAATGATCACATCCTTTTTGGTTGTTTCTTCTCTGCCCCCCTACTATGGAAACAAATAGGGAGCAAAGATCTAGAATTTGAAAAAAACTAAAAAAATAGCTATATTTGCTAGGCATATTTAGTTTTAAAAGTTAAAATCATAAAAAAAATATTTTAATACCCAGAAAACATTAAACAGGGGTCCAATTTGTGAAACAAAATCTCAATACCTCAAATTTAGAATATTTAAAAATCACAATATTGTGAAATCCTTGCATTTTTTATCATATGTGCACTTATGCTCTATGTCCAGATATATATGTATATGTGATATTTACAAACTACACTTTTGAACAGATGTTTGATAATATAACGCATTATGTGACTAGCATGTTCCTTGGGATCAAGTATTTCATGATTATCTTTTTAGACATATGGTGCTGATATTGAAAACAAAACCAGAGGGATTATTAAAAATAAAACTTAAAGTGAGATTTGGAATATTTCCTATTTCCTTTTAAGTTAAACTTATCAAGAGAACTATGTGGTTTCAATCCATCAAGATTAAGCAGGAGCCAAGTCTTTTTGGTTGCCTGTATACAAGGCTAGCGGCTTGGAAGGACCAGTGTTAGAAATTCACACAGTAACTGATGAACACCTTTGCTTGAGGGGGTGGCAGTGAGGTATATGTGCTCCGTTTAGAAAAATACCTAGGCTGCATCATGAGTAAAGTCCTGTGGAAAAATGTATTGGGCACTTTTCTGTGGATTATTAATGTAGACACTGGTTCATTCCATCTAGGAATGAGTCCTAGGTACTGCTGCTGCTTCTACTGGTCTGTGGATAACACTTTGACTATTTATTGTTGGATAGGAGTTAGTATTGTTTTCATTAGCTCTTTATAAAATTTCTCTTAAAGATCTGGAATATCAACAAAGAAACCATCAGGTTAGCTGTGCATACATAACTATCAACCCTTCTTTTTTTCCCCCTCAAGTTTTGTCACCATAATTCTATAATCCTTTTTTTCTCAAAAAGAAATTACAGAGCACTCTCCTATCACGATGCACAATTATTAATGTAATTATGGTTATATAAAAATGAGCATGCATTTCCTAAAGATTACTTGTTGCATGGAAGTAAGGCACTGAAGGTAAATGTTTTGAAGACAAGTTGGCCAAACTTCTGCCACTGGACCACCAGAATTACAAACCTCCTTTGTCTTCTATTGCCATTGCACATTATTCAGGGCCACAGGCTCACTGAGAGAGGATTTTTTTGCCTCTCCTTGGCATTTCACTTTCTCAGTGCCAAACATCTACTGTGGCTTCCAAATGAATCAAGTTCTCCTTCCTCTCCTCCCCTGGAAACTCATACTCCCAGCAAAATGTCACAAATAAAGTGGAAGCATGCCCTTCCCAACCTAGACTTGTAAACAGAAAGCAAGAACACCATTCTTCAGCAGGAAACTGACCCACAAAGCTTACTGGATCCAGTTAAAGAGATTGAGAAGAAGGTCAGCTAAAAAAAAAAAAAAGGACTCTCTTTATCTTCTGATAGAGCTCCACCAACCCAAAAATAAAGCCTTGTCTAAAGCAAAGGAAATTAAAAATAGAGAATGTTAGGGGAGACCTGGGAAGGCAATGGATTCTCACAGGTGACTTATTTGCATGCTCTGTTTATCTTCTCTTTGCCAAGGACTAACTGGTTCTGTTTTTATTCTCATTTCTCTCAACCCTCACTTCCACACTATAATACATACTAAAGTGTAATTTTTAAAAAAAATTTCATATCTTTGGGGCCATAGACATAAAGAACTTCTGTATTGTATATAGATATTTGTGTAGTGAGACTACATCTCCTAGATTTAAATTTCAATACCTTTTTTTCTTTTGAATTATCATTTAGATATTTTTCTAACTCTAAGATAACTATAGCTTAAGATACAATGATGGTACTTAGAAAGTCCTTACAAAGTTCACCAACACTCAAAAACTTGTACATTTCAGGTATTCACTTTTCTCACATTCAATCTTGTAACATGAAAAAAAAATTCCTAGATATAGCATAAATTTATGTAGAATTCTTCACTAATAAAGGGTTAATGATGTTAGGGAATATGGATATTAGGAGTTGAGAGGGCATGCTTGTGTGCCTGCAAAAACATGTTCTGCATTATGTCCGTCCAATCTCTTTGCAAACAGATGAATTACTCTATAAATCTTATTGCTCCATGTGGATAAATCATACATGCAGTTTTACCAGGATGGAGAGTTACATGAGAAAATCTGCTTTGGATAGTAGGATCTTTGGGATTCATAATCACCCAACACTCAGAAAGTGAAGAAAGGAGTACTTACACATTAGCATTTTCTTACTTTTTATAATCTGGAACAACACATATATAGACAACACACACACACACACACACACACACACACACACACACACACCATTTTCTCCTCTAACAAGGCTAGAGATCCCAAAGCAGGACACTCTGTGACAGCCAACCAAATTTATTTCTGAGAAAAGAAAAGAAAACTTTGCTGCTGTAGGCAGCTCTGCCACAGAACTGCTCCCTTATGCCCCAGGGTTTATGCACTATCAGCTCCTTGCACACAGATTAGAGGTTTATTTTCTATCGCACACTGTTTTTTATTGCCACAACCAGCAATATTAGCTAGATAGATAGACTGACACTGGGTCATTTTATTTGGAGGAAATGGGATTTTAAAAGATCTCAAAGGAGAGCATTTTCTTTCTGTTTTCTTCATTTTTCCCCCTTTTTAAAAAATTATTATCTGCTAGAAATTCAAGTAAAGCTGGAAAAGCAAGGGTGGAGGGGGAAGAGATAAGAGGAAAAACAGGAAAAGCTGCTTGGAGCTTTTTAGAAATAGAATAAAGATGAGGTGCCATTTGAGTCTCTCTAGCTCACTGTCCCTTATAGGGGTCAAACTCCCAAGGACTTGGGACGATTCCTTTCCAAATTTCAATCTCAAATTATATTTCAGAGTTTGGCAGAGCTATACAAAGATAAGAGTTTTTAAGTCAATAATCATGTTGATTATGCTAGGTTAATTCTCTCACAACCTTTAGGCTTAACACTTCTATTCTTAAATGCCAGCAACTGGACATAATGTTATTTTTTCTTCTCCTCATTCTTGTGGTGATTTCTATCCACAGTCCAAAAAAGGCTCAGTAACCAACCAAAGTTCTAAGATTGATTTATTTCCCTGGATGTCAATTAGAAGATCTTTACAGAAAGTCTTCTATCAGAACTACTGCTGGCAGAGTGAAAGCCTGGATGTACAACACACACACACACACACACACACACACACACACTCTCACGGGAGAAGCAAGGAGAATGCAGTACCATGTACCACTCTTTTAGAGCCATAATTCAACAACTCTTCTTTCTGGATTAAGAAACATCAACAAAACTCCAGAGGGCAAAGCATGAGCAATTAACAAAAACCGTAATACTGCTGGAATTCCACTAATTCCATAGGTGAAGTTAGGCTTCCTTGATCAGAGAAACAACATCCAAAGAACCAAACATTTCACCAGCACCATTGGCTCTTGACAGGGACCAGAATTCCTTTGAATGTTGTTGGCAGTCTACTACCAGTCAGTGAAAGGGATACACACACACACACACACACACACACACACACTCCGGAGCCTGCAGCATCGGAACGAACACACACACACACACACACACACACACACACACACAGAACCGCGCGGGAGAAAAGTTGCCCGAAAGCCCTACCTGAGGATGGCCGTGTCCCCCTGCCTCACGGTGATGTTGTCCGTGCCTCGGTTAAAATCCACGCTGCGAACGGGCAGTCCTGTGGGAAGAAGGCAGAGCAATCTCAGTAGGACCAGCGGCAACTGTTTCCGATCAGGCTGAACTCTCCCGACCATGGTGGCCAAGGCGAGGTGCGGGTCCGCGGGGTGCTCCGAGGGTTGTGCGCGCTGCTCGCAGCGGAGAGGGGCTTTACTAACACCGGGCTGTCATCAACCGCCCAGGCAGGTCGGGCTTCTCCAGTTTGTGGCCCCTTCCACTTTGCCACTCTTCACCTCGCTCAGTCTCTTTTCCCTCTAAGTCTTAACAAAGCCCTCATAAAATCCTAGCAGGGGTGAGGGGAAAAGTCCAAGGAACAAAATTTCAACAGAGAGTACAAATGCAAAACCCTCTAGAAAGGATGAGGTGCTTTCCAAAGGCAGAGGTGCTTCCCTGGTCTCTCTGTGGTTGGATGCTCCTGTGCCAGCGTCGGAGCTGAGCTCCTTCCCTGTGTAACCCACTTTCCCAGGCCGGCGAGGGAGCCGGCTCCAAGCTGCCAGGGAGTGTAAAGAAACTGCCACGCAGCAGCGGCAGAGGCAGCTCAGAGTCTCTCTCCCCCTCCTCCCTTCCTGTTTCTCCCTCCAGTCCCCGGCTGTCTCTCTATCAGCACCTCCCCCTACCCTGCTGGTTTTCAACAGCCCCTCCACGTCATCCCCTCCTCCCTCCCCTCGGAGTGGCCCCTCGCTTTGCACAACTGCCCCCTTCAGCAGCAGTCAGCCTCAATGAAAGCCCGGTGTGCCTTTAGGTTGTCAGGACAACAGCTCCATCCGAGGAGGCCTGGCTGATTTCCTTAAGAAGAGGGAATGGAGAGCATGGGGACTGTTCAAGACAGAGAAGAAGGAGAAGGACTTAAGCCATAAAAAGAGTCCAGGAAAGGAGAAGGAAAGGATGAAGGAAGAAGGAGAAAGAGAGGCAGGAAAGAGGCAAACCTTGCTAAATGGAGGGAGTGAAACGGAAGGATAGAAGGCATGGGGGTTGGGGTGCAAGTCCTGAAAGATGGGCTAAGGAATGTAAAACAGTGAAGAAACTTGACAGCAGACTCTCACATTAAAAGCCAAAGTTGATTTCAAAGTAAACATTCCTGGCCAATGGCTTTTCATACTCAAATCTTGTTCATTCTTTTCCTCTCTTCTGTACTTTCTATTATAGGATGAAAAAGGTTTATTTTCTCTTCTTCCTTCATCCCCACCCCCTCTTCGAACCCCTTTATGAAAGATGTATTGGAGACAATGCTGGTATTGAGTGGTGTGGGGTGTGAATGCTTGGCTTGTCTTTTCCAAGTGCCAGCCTCAGCAGCTGATCCCTGATCCCTAAATCAACCTCACTCTCCAGGAAACCCTCACTCAGTCCCACACATGAGTGGTGGTTTTAAAGATTATTGTTCTAATGACACATTGCTATGACCACCACCCAAGCTCCTACTGGTACTTGCTTCTCAAAATGTTCATATACAAGGAAGAGGATTTGTATTTCAAGGCCTGTCATTTATAGGGAGACACTAAGGCTGCATGCAGCAGTCTAGTGAATGCCAGACAGGCTACCATCATTTCTCACTCCTTCTACTCCATGAGCCCAGGAAATGATGAGGTTCATAAGGAACCAACACTGTTAGTCCTTCAAGTGAGAGTCCCATACTAGAGATGTCCCTTAGTACTGATGCTGGCAATGAAAATGGGGTTGGGCCAGCTAGGGACTCTTTTCCTCCTTTTAAATTTTACCTGAACAATTAAAGCATTCACATGATATAAAAACCAAATGGTATAAATTGCTATAGGATTAATTATAGTTGTTGTCCTATAGTTTAAAAATGGCAATAGGAACCTGCATGGGGGTGCACATCTGTGATCCCAGTGGCTCGGAAGGCTGAGACAGAAAGATCCGGAGGTCAAAGCCAGCCTCGGCAATGGTGAGGTGCTATGCAACTCAGTGAGACCCTGAGTTGTATTAATAAAATACAAATAGGGCTGGGGAGGTGGCTCAGTGATCAAGTGCCCCTGAGTTCAGTGCCCAGTACCAAAAAAAAAAAAAAAAAAAGGATAAAAAAAAATGGCAATAGGAAGACAACTATAATTCCCCTATCTGGAGGCAACACATATTTCTAGTTCCATATATACAGAAGAAAGCCAGAAGAAGTGGGCAAAGGATGGGAGATGAGGATGAAGCATAGGGAAGTGAGGCTCCTTCAGGCTTGGAGCTAGGTAACCTGTCCTCAGACCCTCAGAATAATCACACTTGATCTCCTTCAGGCTTCTGTATTCCAGCAAGGTCTTTGCTTGTAAGTCTTCCCTCTGTGATAGCATAGAAGGAGAGAAAATTTGCATAGAGAGCTCTAAAGCTTCAACCAAAGTGATTGTGAGTCATTCCGATAACTTGCTGCCACTTCTGCTAATAGGGGAATCTCCAGGTTGGGAGTCCCCATTTTATGTCTCCCTGTTCTGGATCATTTCTAGCCATAAATATTCCATACATATAAAAGAAGTAAATACATAAATACAAACATATACAAACACACACAAAGGTATTTTCCTTACCCCTCTTATTTACACAAATGGTTAGCTGAGGACATTTGCAAATAAATACAAAGAAATAAATGCAAAGAAACATGTTTGGAAATCCCCACAAGCCCCAAGAAAGCACTAACTGTGCTGATACCTCCCTTTCCCCCAGACTGATCAGATTTCTCTACAGCATTTTATCAGTTAAAAGATATATGAACTCTTATATACTGTGTGAAAAAAGGAAGGCATTTTGATTTTATAAAAGATTTTGAAGGATTGGAATCCAAATTGTCACAAATCCAAGATTTATCAAGTCAATTAATTTTGTTGTGCTGAGCATTCATTTCCTATAAATCAAGGTGTCCTCTTTCAGGGTTTATAAGCAATCCACAGTTAAGAAACCAGTGATATTTCACCACTACTTTGTAACTCAGCTGTTGAAAACTTGGAGCCCAATTTGTGACAGAAAAAAAATGGTTAGATCCAATGGTTAGTTGAATCACAAACCCCATAATCCTGTGCTTCTCAATATCAATGCTAAACTGAGCTTCAGTTGTCAACAGGAGGTGCAAAGATTTTATATAACTCTCTGTCAAGTTTGAAGAGAAAAGAGTACCCACTCTTTCCCCACCATTAGTTGACTTGACCATCCTTGATAATCTTCTTTGGAGCTCTGAGAAATGAGGGATGAGCTTAACAAGCAAAGGTTTAAAAGTAGCATGTGTTCTTCATCTGGGTGGTGTTCCACCAATGTCAGAACAAAGAAAAGAAAGATGCAAGGGACTGGGGGCTACTAGGATCATGGGTATCCCACTGATGGGATTATCCTTGGTAGGATCCTAGATGCTCTAGGGAAGGATTAGACAAATTGATATTATGAGTACTTCCTCTTATCAGTGACTGGATTTTGTGTAAAGAAAGGAAGAGGTTTTTTCACTACAAAGTATAGTGGGGTGGTAGGATATTATTGGTGGAAGATATTTATACATGACTGTTAACTAATAGAAATCTAAAGTCACTGGTAGAACTTCAATGGTGGTGCTAGGAGGAAACAGACTAATATAGAGAGCACAAAATAATTCACAACAAAGTAGTGGGAATTTGGAATTTTTGGTATATCAACCAAATCTGGAGTTTGTCTCCATAATTATTTGAAAAAATAAAGTATATCTTAGGCTAATCAAGAATATAATCAGAATTGGAATGGAAATGCTTAACCAAAGAATATACAATTATAACTACATATTTGTGTAGAAAAAACATCAAAAACAGCAATTAAAGATTTTTAAAATATCTTCATTAAATAAAGTCCAATTCCTGGCAACTTTTGTTAAACTAAATTGACTTACTGTAAGTACTTAATATAAAACACAGTTTTTAAAAGGACTTTATTTTAGAAATTCTTTAATTTAGACTGTTCAGTAATTCAGTCTAATTCAATAAGACTGACTTCCTGAACAATTAAAAATCATGAGTTTATGCCAGGCGTGGTAGTGCACGCCTATAATCCCGTTGGCTTGGGAGGCTGAGGCAGGAGGATTACAAGTTTAAAGCCAGCCTCAGCAACTTAGCAAGTCCCTAAGCAACTCAGTGAGACCCTGTCTGTAAATAAAAGACAAAAAGGGCTGGGGATGTGGCTTGGTTGTTAAGCACCCCTGGGTTCAATCCCCATTACAAAAACAAAACAAAAGTCATGAGGTTTACTATATAAGATAATAATGTAATATTTGGTATTTACAGCCAAACAGTACTTCAAATACAATTGTTTAACCCAACACTTGGCCCAGAGGGTGAATGCTATAATGGATGAACATGAGACTGGAAACATGGTGGAATGCCCAACCCCACTCACCACGTGGTTCACTTCACCACTTAGAGTAAATAAATCTATTTATGGGTGTGCACAGTCTACTTTTGTGAAAAGTATGGTCTCTCAGAGAACTTCTCTTTTTTACTCCCCTTATGTTATCCTTTTTTTTTCTTTCTCTCTTCTTTAAGAACTCCCACCTTCTAATAAATACAATACTCTATCAAATTGGATAATGTATCTCATCCTTTTGGTCATTGCCCCCAAACTATCCCAATATTAATTTCTCGGTGGAAAGTAAACAAATAGACAAGTTCATGAAATTTCTATATGCTATTTTTTCTGTAATCTGCTATATGCATTCTTCCAAGAGGGTTGGCAAAAATGAACATACTTTTGGGTTATTTGTGAGGCAAGTATGGCTGTTAGCCATGTGAAACAGCCATCATCACCCAAGTAAGATGATCTTAACTACTACTTTAAAATAACATACTGCTTTCTAAAAGAGGCTTTGGAAGATGCTGGCACTCTCCAGGGACAAATGTTGCAGGAAAAACAAAGACTGGCTAGCTTCTGAGTACCGTAAGTAAGATGCATAAAAGGTTTATTCTTCTGTTTAGCTCTGTAAGATGATAAGCATACATGAAATCTAGGTGCAGCCTGAAATGTACAATTAATTTAGCTACATTGCTTGCATTTTATGCTAAACATGTCTATAACATTATTAATATACCACTCTACATTTCTACAGTTGTAGGGTCTTAATCATAATAATGCCATGCCTGTACTTTACTTTCATAAGTGGAATTAGCATTTTTTCATATGAACTAGAAAGCCAGAATTGTTAATACTTCTCCTTACTATCTCTACTATGACATTCACAATGATTTCATCATAATTTAGCAATGCTCAAGTATTTCAGTTAATGCTCATAAGCGTGGCACTATCTCATGTGAGTTTCTTTTGGAATGTGCCTCTTTTGAATACAACGACTTCATTCACATGTGTCTCACTGCCTAACAAAATCAGTCAGCTTTATGTCAGTTAAATAATGGCCAAATTCTTACTATAGACCCTCCAGTGATGTCAAACACTCCATCCAAACTCTGTCCAATTAAAATCACTCTTTTGTTTTCATTTAGTGTGAGCCTTTGTGGTTCATTATGATTATATCACTTCTCTGCTTCTGAGTGTCTTTTGCTCGCTTGTTTTGTTTTTGTAGGCATCAATGCTTGGATCAGTCCCAATTTCCACAAGGTT